GTCTTACTAGGTATCTGCAAACTTCCTCACCTTCCCCTGCAAAGTTATCAGCTGACTTCCTGAAGACAGATTCCAAACTAGGTGCCTAGAATGTTTACCTCGTGTGCCCCAAACATGACAGTTTCCAAGATAATGTATTCTGACCACTGAGAAACTGTCAACATTGTCAGTGGCCTTGACCTCCAGGCAGATATAAACACGATTAGCAAACTTGTGAATTTTTAGCACATTTTTAAGCAATTTTTTTCACACGTTAAATTTATTTTCTTCACTTTCATCTTTAGGCTTATTAGCTGGGCTGTTTGTGTAAGATGCAGGAGCGTGGATTGGAAAGGTGTCCTCCTCTCTACTTCATGCATTTCCATTTTGACTTCTTAAGACCCTACCTATCCCCCAAAAGAAGAAAAATGAAATTCTAGAGCACTAGTCTTTTAGATGTTAATACTTCTAAGAACTTATAGTTAATTTAGAGAAATACTGGATATATCCACCTCTTGGACATGCACGATGCTCGTCAGGCTTGAGAAACATTGAAATTTATTTAGCCAATTAAAAAAAAATCCGAAATTGACCACGGGACAGCTCTTTTCAGGAAACACTGATTAAGGTCATGAGAGAACTGGGGATTTGGTGGAGTGTGACCTGGCCAGCTCTAGTTAGAACATACAGTGGAAGGACTTTATAAAAGTATCTGTAAGTGGTGTAAGTTCTTCAAACACGGAAAAGCTAGCCCTTCTCAATATCAACCTTTGTCTCACCTTTAAAAAGCTATTTCTAGATTTTATTTTCCTACAAAGTCTTTTTCTTCCTTCATCCTTATGGCAGCTATCATTGCAGGCATTTCTCTAATTGGCTCCTAGATATTCTCATTGCCCTTTGTAAGCTATTTTGTTGACTTGTACAAAGAGGTACAGTTGCCAGAGGTGTAAATAGACATAAAAAGACAACTCATGTGGCCTTACTCGGGGGAAACATATTCATGGTTGTGCACCATAATTGGAAGGTTTCCTGGAAAGCCTCACTGCCCAAATTCCCTTTCCCCACCCGCCAGCCATGTGCCTGACATGGACCTCATTTGTACCTCAAACATTCCATTATTGTGGGGGGGGAGCACCTGGGTAGTGCAGTCGGTTAAGCATCCAGCTCTTGGTTCCAGCTCAGGTTGAGATCTTCGGGTTGTGGGATTGAGCCCTGCACTGGGCTATGCCTGCTCATTGCAGAGTCTGCTAAAGTTTCTTTCTCCCTCTGGCCAGCCCCCCACTCCCCTCACGTGTTCGATCTCTAAATCTTTAAAAAAAAAAAAAAATCCATTTGGGGGCCATTAAAAATGAAAATATACCAAGTGTTAGGAAGTGGCAGAGGGTCAGTAAGGTCTCCTCCAGACTGAGAAGTCCTTTTAATACCAAAAAATGAAGCAAGCCCCTCCATACCATTCACAGAGTTTTATTCAGGGTAACTTACTGACGGGCGGCTGGGTGGGCTTACAGACGATCCCGGCTGTAATACACCCTTAGTCTCCGCCCCTATTCGAGGCCTCTATCCAGCCCTTTCACCAGCTCTTACGGAGTGAGGGGCCTGGTGGGGAGGGCACGGGGGTAGTTATCTTAAGGGGCACCAGTGCACCAGAAGCGAGAACAAGAAGTCCCACAGGTGGAGTCAATGTTGTCAGCACTCCTACACTCCACGCTGCACCCCCCTGCCGACATCTTTATGGCCCATATAATCTTTACCCTCGTACCAGATACCATCCCGGTGCCGCAGCAGGAATACAAATAGCAACAGGAGCTTAACCAGTACCACTCCTGGTTTTTCAGCATTCCGCATTCTTGAGGGGTAGGAGCAATGACCAGTCTAACTACTTCCTGCTGAAGAGGGGTGCAGGTCAGGAGTTAAGGAATGAAACTGCCTTTCAACCAATTGCAGAGATTCTGTGGTACTAAGTTGAGCCCCCATCCTTTATAGAGCCATTACTTTGGAAGTCTTGCATATAGTCTTAGCATTTTAGTCTACATTTTATAACAAGGCCAATTAGGTCAGTTCATTTGAACGGTGGTCCCATTTCAGGACGTGGTCTTGCTGGTGGGCTTTCAAAGTCAGGCCTGTAGTGTGCAGTCAGGTAGAAAATTAGCCATATATGCAAGAAAACCAAAAGAATTCAGGGTCCAGCCTAGTTTTAGAGGTAAACAATCAACATTCAAAGATAATCAGAACTAGAATCTAACACCCATAAAGATATATCACCAAATCAACTTTTTCCTCTCTAAAATCACCCTCATTTCTATCAAAGGTAGCCAAATTAAGTTGTTTGTGGGGGCGCCTGGGTGACTCAGTTGGTTAAGCATCAGACTCCTGATTTTGACTCAGGTTATGATCTCAGGGTCATGAAATCAAGCCCCATTAGGCTCCAAGTCCTGCGTGGTGTCTGCTTGAGATTCTCTCTCCCTCTGCCTCTGCCTCTGCCCCACTTAGTTTCCCCCTCCCTCACTGCCAAAAAAAAAAGATTGTAAAACAAGTCCAATTTTAACAAACTTGGCCTAGTTATTATTATTTTGGGCCTATCTACATAAATGCAGTAAGAACAGTGACTGGCCATTTATGTTCTTCTAAAGCTGCTTTCTTGGAACTTCTCATAAGGAATTTCACATTGAGCTTTTAACAGCCTTTGGAGGCCAGAAGCCAAGCCAAATACTTGCCATCAGACTTGCCTGCAATACCTTTAGTTTGGGTTACTTCCACTCTTCTTGAGGTTCCCCCCAAAATATCCTGTGGTTCCTGAGACTGCCAGGAAGTGACCCTCCTTACCTGGTAAAGGCTCCCAGGAACCCTGTAAACAGGGACCAGGTTGAATTAATTTTTTCAAGGGGCTCCCTTGGCTCCATAAAGTCAATCTTAGCACCTTAAAACTGGCCCTATCAGAATCTATGCAGGTCTCTCTCAAATAGGACCTTCCAGTCATAGCCTTGGTAATATAACCACTGTTTCCAATGTTCCATTACAAGAACATGTTCTTATTGAACTTACACAAATAACTATAATTGATTTCCCATTTTGTTGTTGCCACAAGCCCCAGCCAAATCCTTCTGGATGTGAACTTACATCCAATTCACAACTCACCTTTGGCATTAATATCCCTAATGCTTATACTTTTCTTTCCATAGATAAGTGTGCATTCAGCCAGTGACTCTTAGTGCTAGCACGGTCTGTTGGTTGGTACAAGACCAATAAATGGTTAATTCCACCTGGGGCCTCCGGTTGCCCCCTATTGCACACATGAGAGGGCAACCCTGGCCTACCTCCTAGTCCCGGGGGGGTAGGTGGTATCCACCCCTGAAATTCTGCCAGTAACAGGGGGGCACTTGGCAACACCCCTGGCTTTTTAGAGCCTTCCTTCAGGGAAGTAAACTGCCTTCCCTTAGGCAATGCCTTCTAGAGGCTTAGCAAGACCGAAATGGGTTGTTTGTATTTTCTCTGGGGGTCCCAGATAATATTAGATCTTGTTACCATTGTTTATGAGCTCTTGATAGGCCCCCTTTCCACCATTTCATCATTAGGAGGATCCTTTATTTTTCCCTGCTTTTCCATCTATTTCCCTTTCGGTTTCATGTAAGTCTGCCATTATAGCAGCTACTGTAGCAATGGGACGTTTAACCCCAAGGACGAGAGCGGATGCTAAAGTCCCATACCCTGCCCCTGGCGCTGACCGTGAGATGTGCACATTCGTACAAGAGGAATGTAGTTCTTCATTTGGGCCACCAAAATGCTGGGTGTAAATGGCATGTTTCATCCCCAGTTCTTCCATAGAGGTCCCGTGCAACGGAGGGGAGGGAACAGCCTCCTCGGTGAGCCAGGTTTTCTTAATGCTAGCATGTATCCAATCAGCCAGATTAGCTAAGTGCCTGCAGTGCTCACCCATGCCTGCAGTATATAGTCTTTGTCACAAGGCAGGTTGAGCTGTGGCTGAGGCCATTTTTGATGTCTCGAATCCATTTACCGTAACACCATGTTCTCCAGTATCCCACAGTCATAACCCCCAAGCTGCCACCCTTTCTGAGCCCTTTTGCTTCTCCACCATTTCAGATAGGTGTTTTTAGGGCATCCCTGTACTCACACACTGGTCTGAAATGCTCAAAAGCCCTGGCCGAGTCTCCCCACGGGGTGGTGGCTAGCCAGCTTGGGACCTCCCCCACGGACAACAGGCTCCCCCCCGTCATAGCCCGTTAACCCATGGCTTGTTTGATTTTCGGTATCCTGCCCACTACGCCAAGTGTTAGGAGGTGGAGGAGGGTCAGTCACGTATCCTCCAGACTGAGAAGGCACTTTAATCCCGAAAATGGAAGCAAGCCACTCCATCCTGTTTACGCAGTTTTACTCAGGACAGCTTACGGTTGGTTGGTTGGTTGGTCAGGACGGTAATATGCAGCAATTCTTCGCCACCCTCCAGACCTTAATCCCCAGCTTTTATGGCGCCAGGGGCGTGGTGGTGCCGTCACAGGGTAGTTATCTAAAGTGGTGCCACCTGTGTGCTAGAGGACCAAAGATGGAGCCGGTGTTGTCAGCACTCCTACACCAAGTACACCTGAGAAGATTAGACCGTTCACACTTCCTGAGAAACAGGACTGGAAGAAGTGAGCTAAACGGTACATGGGCCAGCTGTACCTCATTAACCTGCCACCCTATTCACCCAATCTAGGCAGCCAGTTCTGGCAGTGGCTTACTAAAACTGGGGAGTAAGCCCCTGGTTTTTTAGTCTCTCTCCTGTTTCCAGGAATATACAGTGTCCACTGATTTTTTTTTTTTCTTTTTCTGAAAAAATGCATTTCTTCTGTAAATCACTTGAATTTCATCTCTAAATGATTTCATATTGTTATTATACTATAATTATACGTATATACATACAACTACGTAGTATGACCAGTGGGATGTAAGAATCGTAAACTGTTTACCGTGAACACACTTTTGAGTTTAAGTCATTATTGCTTATGTTCCCTTTGGAATTTTAGCATCTCCAGGCTCCAGCACTTGCTTAGCTGTTATGACTCCAGCGAACCAGTGTTTCTGGGAGAGCGGTACGGCTACGGCCTGGGCACTGGCGGCTACAGCTACATCACGGGAGGAGGAGGGTAACTATGAGCATGGCTTTCTGCACATACTCTCAGCATTAACTTCGGTTTCCATGATACAGGGCTCGGTCTGTGGCGGTGGGACCTATCCTGATATCTAAGTGCTCTGTAAATGGCAGCCGTTTCTATGACAGGAAAGTGAACATTAAATTTGCTAAATATGAAAAGAATCCACGCTAAAGAATATTTTACCCCACGAAGAAATATAAATCGTTGTCAAAGTATTTGGTAGAAATGTCCCTATAGGAATAATTGTTTCTAGGTAGCCAATTAGTTTTGATTGGTTAAATGAAAAAAGAAATTTGGATATAGATTTTATTGTCAGAAAATAAGTCATTGGACTTCTAAATTATCTAGTGCTAATAAATCACATTTCGGAGAAGAGTAGTATAGAAGTTTAGACTTAAGCAATTAAGTGATATTTGTGTAGGATTTATAGGTTTTAAATAACAGTGAAAAGTCAATGTTTTTAAATGAAGTATCTGCCTAATCTCTTGTGGGGAAAGATTTTGATTTGATTTATATGGGTAAATCAATTGAGCAATTAATCCTTCTATTATTTCTGTAGTCTTTGCTATTGGGGTATGTAGGGAAAATCTTAACTTGGTATAAACTATAGTGATTTAAAGTCATTCCAACAGGTATTTGCTGAATGTGGCACTTGGTTTCTAAACCACTTGGCACTGGTTTCTAAACCTCTGAAGGGTCAGGACTTTATATTCTTACTTTGTAGTCCCCTAGATCAGAATGGTTCCTACTGCAGGACCTCAAGAATCACATTCCAGGGGTTCTGGCTTGGTCTAGCTGATTCAGTGGTTAATATAACATGGCTATGGACATGTCTTTCATAGTGATAACTGAGCCTGGGCATGAGTACTGATCTTTCTTGAGCAGTGGCCGTGTGTCTTCCTGAGGTCATTACCAATAGGAGATGCAGATGCAGGTAGGCCTTCAAAAAGACACTAAAGGGAAGGCCAAGGAGTATTGGTCTATTCCTTTAAAAAAAAAAAAGAAAAGAAAAAAGAAACTCAAGCTATGTGCAGCCTTATGGGAATGCATTTAGTTTTCAGTGGGTGAGGTACTGGGTCTGGTTAAGGATCCGGGCATGGTATCTGTTGAGTAAGAACTTCCTACCTTTGAAAGGGGTCCTGTTATTTGAATATGGGTTTGTGTATTTTGTAGCACATAGGTGTGGATATACTTTTAACATAGAAGTGATTTTTTGTCAAGAAAACTATTTGGTTGTCTTCCTTGCCTGTTGGATTTCACTTTTAGGTCTGAGACTGGCCCTTGAAGCCTGAAATGGCACTTGACAGCACCCAGCCAGCATTGCCTTTCATCGCTCCAGCTGGTTGCTCATTCGCTCCAGGAGCCTAGCGGGTGCGGGCATGGGGGATGCAAAGACCACAGTTCCTTCCCTCCAGGCACTCACAGGCTAGTGCCAGATTGACAGATACACTGCATGAGTGTCACTGCTCCCTTTCCCAGGCCCATGGTGGGCACTGTAACCACCAAGATAGCACCTTTAACCTCTTATATGTTCAACTTCTACCTTGCTACTGTGGACTTCCTGCCACCTCCAGTTTTCCCATCTTAAAACTCCTTCCTGCCGGGCGCCTGGGTGGCTCAGTTGGTTAAGCGTCTGCCTTCGGCTCAGGTCATGATCCCAGGGTCCTGGGATCGAGCCCTGCATCAGGCTCCCTGCTCAGCGGGAAGCCTGCTTCTCCCTCTCCCACTCCACCTGCCTGTGTTCCCTCTCTCGCTGTCTCTCTCTGTCAAATAAATAAATAAAATCTATAAAAAAAACCCCCAAAAAACAAAACTCCTTCCTGCCACCACACCCTCCCTCTTCTCCCCTTGAAATCATCTTCAGAATCCACAGTTCATGATCTCTGCTTCCCCACTTCCATCTGACCCCTGTGCTTGGCCTTCAACCTAAACCACCTTGCTTAGGACTGTGGCCATGTCCACGTAGCCACATCCAGTGGCGTGATTCCAAACTCTCTTTTGTTTAACCTCTTGGCCGCCTTTGACAAAGGTGACCGCCACTCCTTGAAAGGCTTCTTTCTCTTGCTTTCCAGAACAGTGTCATATCCTTGTGTATTCCTGCCTTTCTGGTCATTCCATCCCAGGTCCTTTTTCCTATCCCTTAAATGGCTGTGTTTTCCAGGCATTTTTTCTGGTGTTCCTTCTCTTCTCACTCTGTATTCTCCTTGGTGATCTTATCCACCCCTATGACTAAACTGAAAGCACCCAAACCTCTATCCCCAGCCTACAGCTCTTTCCTGACCTCGAGGCCATGTCCACTGGGGTGACAAGACCCAGCACTGCCATCCTGACCTCATCCTCTGACTCTGGCCCCTGGCCCCTGCTTTACTGTTTTTCAAGTAGTCTTGCCTCAGGGAATCACGAGTTCCCGCCCCACAGACCTGTGACTCTGCTTTACCCTTTCTCTCCCTCATTCCCCAGGACCCTGAAGTCAACCCAGTCAGTTTTGTCTCATAAATACCACCTCTGTCTCCACCTCCCCAGGGCTAGTCGAGGTCACCCCACCTCTTACATGTGTGCTCCTGCCACAGCTCGTCTCCTCCGCTCCTTGCTGTCGACCACACTGTAGCCACAGAGACCTTTCTACAACCACGTCTGATCCTGTGGCCCTCCTGCTCAGAGGCTTTCACTCACCTCCATTGCTTTTATTCTTCCACAAGAGCATGAACTCTTTCCTACCTTTGGCATCTGAGATAGTCTTTCACATTCCTACAGGAGTCATGCTGGTCTGGGATTAGGCCTCATTTTAATCACTGCTGGTTTGCCGGGTCCACAGCCTCTCTGGGTGCTGCTGATTTCTCTAGTGGGTCTTGTCTCCTTCCTCCTGCTCTCTGACCCAACTTGTCCCTGAAAGCTGCCACATCTTGCTACCCACATGGGAAGGATTCCTCTCTCTAGAAATTAGTTCTTCTGGGTTTCATATCATCCATGTCTTCAACAATTCCATAGGTTAATGTGATTTTAATTTTATTTGGATTTTTTTTATTACCATGGGAAGTGAAAGTCTTTGCATTCTTTTATAACCTCCTGTTACCTTTAGAATAAAGTCCAAATTACTCATTAAGAATTACCAGGCCTCTCATGACCTTGGCAGATGCTGTTTTACTTTTATAGCTTCATTCATCTGCACCCTCATCTTATTTCAATTCCTCAGAGGCATTTCTTCTTTCCTCTTCCCCAAGATTGGCATCTGCTGGTCTCTACATAGCACTGTGTCCCCTCCCCAACTTTCTGTCTTTGTCACTGGGCTCATCCTTCTTTTTTTTTTTTTTTTGGAAACAATATAGCTATTAGTTATTCCTGGAAGCCTTTGGCCTAGTCTGGCCTCTCAAATCTGGGTTTGATGCCTTTCAAATATACTTTCATAGCATATTATGCAAACCATTATCATTTAATTGCCTATTTACCTTTCTGTTTTCCACCTAAATTATGAATTATTTGAAAGCAGCACCTGTATCTCATTTCTCATTATATCCTCACTTCCTAGCATAGGGACTCATTTTTTACAAGGTACAATGAATAAATGAATAAACAAATGCATGAACACTGAGCCTTGGTCTTTGTATAGCTAACGACCATTGTAATATTCTGTTTTTCATAGCACTTTTACAAAGATGCAGAAACATTCATCATGAGATTGTCTCATATCAACGTTTGAAGAAAGCTGCAGACATCATGTTAAATGATTTCTCGGTAGACTTTTCTGATGATCCAGCTTAAGAACCAACATGATTTTTTTGTAAACAGCAAGTCAGGATCAATTAATGGCTTATAAAACCAATGAATGGATCATAACCATCATTTAAAAATAATGAAATATAAAATGGAATAGAATAAAATAGAAATATCATAGTGTATCACATGTAGTAAGGGTGTGTGTTGTTTTGTGAAATTTTGTTTCAGTTTTATACACACATACAATACATATAAATGGTTGTAGTATGAAATGTGTTTCTTGTGTTCTCACTGTGGTTTACGGTCAAGTTAAGTTTTTGTAAAGCCTTGCCTTCAACCATCTCCCCTCAGCCCCACGAAGCAGAGCTGAATCGGGAGTGTAGACTCCACAGTGATTTATGTGTAGATATTCTGTATTGTTTGGAAAATGAGACTTTTGCATTTTCTTGAATGCAAATGTCTGGTGTTCATTTCGTTGCTTACTCCTATGTCTGAGTAGGAAGCTATGATCAGGATGTCCTCATTCTCTTTGGCAGCCTCCTTGAAGGGGCTGAGGACAATGTTACCCGGAGACAGCCCTGACCAGTTCATCTGCTGGAAGACCAGGAGAGGCGGGCGCATTTCTGATGCCCTTCACCTTCTGTATGTGCTCTTGATCTGCACGTGCATGGCCTTGGGCCGGCCCCTGCCCCCCGTTTCAGTTTTTCTTCTGCTTAAAATTAGTATATTGTATATTAAAAGAAATCACATTATTAGTTTTACAGCCTCTTCACATCTTTTTAATATTTAAAAGTTGGCAGGCAGAGCAGACATACCATGATATGTCCAGTACTTTTCCATTTTGGGGGAACTCTTCATTTTGAAACAACCCATCAGCATACTAATAAGCAAGTGTTATTAAAGGCTCGTGTGTACTTAGTTTGTGTGAATAATTAATGTAAGACTGTTCTGTGTGAGTAGGGAAAAATAGAAAAAAAATTACTAATAAAGATTTTATGCTTACATTTTATCTTCCTGTAAGGTTAACTTTTCAGAGAGTGGGCCAGGATAAAAGAGTGGGCCTTCCTTTTCTTTTTCATTCTATTAGATGCTGACAAAAGAAAAAAATAAAGTGTTTGATATAATTAAATTGGGCTTAAGATAAAGAAGATTACAGTTCTCATTGGAATACAAGTACAGTTGGATCTTGAACAACATGGGTTTGAATTGGGCAGTTTCACTTATATGCGGATTTTTTTTTCATAAATACGGTATAATACTGTAAATGTATTTTCTCTTCCTTATGATTTTCTTAATAACATTTTCTTTTCCATAGCTTACTTTATTGTAAGAATACAGTTTATAAGACATATAACACACAATGTATTAATTGACTATTTATGTTATCAGTAAGGCCAATAGTAGGCTATCAGTAGGTAACTTTTAGGGGAGTCGAAAGTAGGATCAGATTTTAAACTGCACACGGGGCTGGCCCCTCACCACTGCATTGTTCAAGGTCAACTACAGTATACTTACTTAGGAAATTCCCCTTGACGTGGCTTCGGATAGATGTTTTAAGGAAAGTGTCTGTCTCCAGCAGGTGCATGTCCCCTTACATAGGCCCTTTTCCTGGGGTCGGGTAGATGAGCAGGGGTTTGACTCAGGACGAAGGTGCTATCCCAGCCCCTGGTGGGCACTGGACTCTGAGAGAAAGAGGATTGCTGGTGAGTTTTCAAATGTGCCGTTTTCCTTTTGGTAGAGTTCATGAGAACCATGTTTATTCCTCTGGTACAGTCGTATTTTCCTGTATCAGCTTAAATAAAGAGCTGCTTTTTCTCTTGTCTGGTCTTGTTTCACCGTGTCCTCTGGCATCTTGGTGGGGACAGGGAGAGTGCTCTGTGTGTATGTTACATCACCAGGGCTTGGTCACTAGTATTAAACTACACTGAACTGAGCCCCCAGCTGAGTATGGAATCAACATTTCACATCAGGGATTGTATTCAAGGTCTTTGTCCTTTTTTCCTTCCCACTAGACTGATTCATAGAACTCCTTCCCCTCCCCCAGGAGGAAGATCTTTGTAAAGGCAGCTTTATTCTCACTTGTTTGATGCATCAAATTCTGTTGAGTGCTTACTGTGTGCAAGGCCCTGCATTTGGCTCTGGGAATATGTGGATAAGGGATAGACAGTTTTGCCTTCAAGGAAGTCGTTGCTTATTGGGAATGAATTTGTGAACCATATTAGTCCCTTCAGCCCTATCAGCTATTAGATTATTCATACTATGAGAAGATCCATTACTACCGTAGGGCCAGAGTGGCCCTATATTTTAGGACCAATCTGTATTTCAAAAAGAGGAGGATGTATTGCAGGAACTTGGTGTGAAAGGGTTGGAAAGGGCCAAAGGGATAAAAGGGGGCAGGTGGATCTCCTGAGAGCTCAGTAACTATAGAAAGCTGGTACTGCCCCAAAGGCTGGAAGAGCAAGGCAAAGGCTGTGTTCTGGAGCCCGTCCTTGTCGGTTGCTGTGGATGCTCTTGCGGTTGGGTCTCAGCACCGCATCTGACCCAGTCCCAGCACTGGCTCCCCATTGCTGCTGTGGTTCTGGCCCTGGAGCCTGGGGCTGCCCAGCATCACCTGCCTCTGCCACAGAGACTGCCAGCGCCAAAAGCCGATGGCCTCCCCCATTATTGTGCCCCTCGTGGACAGATTGAAGCCAGGTCTTTGCTGGCAAGGGAGTCTGGAAAATATTGTTTCACAGTTTCCAGCCTCCTGCAAATCTGAGGGCACAGAACGGCAGGACTGGGCATGAGTTCCACCAGAAAGTACCCAACATACCAGGCCAAGTAGCATCATAGCACTGTTTGAGGAAAGTCAACCTCCCTCTCTCTCTCTCTCCTCTTTCTCAAAATCACCTTAAAGAAGCGTCCACAGACTGGAATCACTTGGACAGTGAATGCAAGGTTGTTTCAGTTAGACTTGATCTCACTGTCGGTCATCACCTGTATGAGGGAGGTACCTGGGCCCATCTACTTGCTGGGAATGTTGGTGGGTTTTGTTATTGACCTCACTGAGCGTGTTAAAACTAAAGAACTATTCTAATTTTCCATTGGCATATTAGGAAAAGAACATTGTATAGTATTCATTTGCAAGAACGATATAAAGAAATAAAATTGCCTATTAGATAGGTAAACACTTCTTCAAAGTAAATTTTCCTTTCATAGAAAGCACAAAACATTTCCCCCAGAATAACTATGAAATATGAAACACTGCTGATGTCAACATCTTTATCAAGAATGTGGCCTCTGAATTATATTTCTTTATTTAGATTAAAGATCTCGAGGAGCTGCTGCCCTAACCCCTTTCTCTGTCTGCTCTGGCTTCCCACTAGAATGGTCTTCAGCAGAGAAGCAATCAGGAGACTTCTCGCCAGTAAATGTCGCTGCTACAGCAATGATGCCCCCGACGATATGGTCCTAGGAATGTGCTTTAGTGGGTTGGGAATCCCTGTGACACACAGCCCTCTCTTCCATCAGGTGAGAACAATGTTTTTATACCTACCTTAGAGGGAGAGAGGGGGATTTTCTTCTCACTTAAAGATCCTACTTCATTCCCTTCACATATTCTTCTGGAAACAATCTTAAGAACTATGTGGACAGGCCCCAGGGGGGCATCCTTAACAGATCTTTTTGTCTGGAGGGTTGATCCTATACCATGTACAGCAGGAAGATGGAAGGCAGAAACCTCTAGAAAACGAAATGGTGTTTGACCATTGTCCTTGAATATAGTACCAGGGAAAAGCTGCTCTTTTTTTCCCCTCTATTTTTGAGTTAAAAAATTGATGGCATTTAAAAACTATTAAATGCCATCTAGAAATATACAGGAATAACCTAATATTTCCTGCTGTATATATGCCAAGTGTATGTAATTCTATACTGTCCTAGGTTTTTACACTGTCCACTGGTTACCTTTTTATTGGGCTTACTCCTCTTTGGTTACTATTAAGATGAGTGACTAAACACTATTAAGCTTCAATTTAGTATCTCAATAAGCATATAATCTCGGGGTTGTTGTTGTCTGAGATAGTGTTTACCAGGGATGGTTGGTGCTCCAAACCACTATACCGTGGTTTGGAGAAGGGAATCCTCTGCACTATTTTTGGTAGTTTTTTGTTTTTGTTTTTTTTTAAAGATTTTATTTATTTATTTGAGAGAGAGAATGAGAGACAGAGAGCATGAGAGGGAGGAG